TCCAACCAATCGATATAAATATTTGATATTTCGGAGTTATTTGACATTTCTTTTTTAAAATTTAATTAATGTAACGGTGAGGATTTGTAGAGTAAGGGGGGAGAGTCAGAAATGACAATTTTAAAAGGGGGAGGGTTCCACAAATTTTTATATTTCTTAAAATGGATGGTTAAAATTTCTAAAATTTGATGATCCCTAACCCACATGATTTATAAAACTTAGATCGGCAAATTTCAAAAAAAAAAAATTGTCGTGATCGGTAACAAAGAAATACTTTTTATTTATTCAGCAGCGCACCATTTCCCTTATATTATGACGGACGAATCAATAAATAAGCCGGTTTTCTTAATAAATATTAAAAAAGATTCTTTCTCGTCAGTTATTAATTTGCCTGGCATTTTATTACAGAACAGACAAAACCATTTATGATCCAATAATAATATAGGATATAATGATATGAACAATAGAAAATGCTACTCAACAAAGAGTCATAACCTTGTCAATAAAATTGTGAAATTTATTTTAAATATCCTTTTCAGAATTCATAAATGATTTTTTTTTTTAATTTGTCCGAACCTTTTATGTTCATATTTTATATTTTATTTATTTAAACCGTGACGATATACCATAAAAGTGCGTTAATTTACAAAACTATTGTAATATTAAATACAACATATCAGAAATTTTTTGAATGAATGATATATCTAGAAAACACTTTTTAAAAAATAAAAAAAATTAGACCCTTAAAAAATACAATTAAAATGATATCAATATGGTTTCACAAGCATTTAACTTGTTCGTGATAAAGATTCCGAAATACAATCTATATCATATATTTATATCTTTTATAGATACTGCAAATTTAAGTGTAATAATTTATGGCATGAAAATCATGACTCGTAAAATCGCCAAAGTCGGAATCTAATTTAATAATTATTTTTGAAACTCAAAATCAGTAAATCGTTATGAATCTTTGAAGCTTTAAACCGTCCTTCAATTTAGTTTGTTATATTAACAAATTATAAATAATTTTAAAAATTAAAAGCTAAAATTGATACCCATTACTTTACTACCCAAAAATTATGAAAGTTTCTTAATTTTTGAATTTCCTATTTGCCAGTATTATAAGGAAGTTGGTCATTAAATCACCCTAATATTCCTTTGATGAGATTTTTAGTTTCTCACTTCTCTGGGCAGATAATTTATAAATCTTTCATCTTTAAAAAGATATTTACGTCAAAAAAAGCCTTTCTTATAAATAAACAATAGAAACAATAGAATAGTTTGTTTGTCCGTCAACTGCAGGTTGCTATTTGTACTTCTGTAGTAGTAAAGAATCACTTGTATTGTACCAATGATTGTTTGCAAATGCATTTAGTGCATGATATCATCCATTGAGAATAATCATCTGATAGCTTAACCTGTTTTTTGAAGTCCTCAATTTTGTGTGTGATTTACAATGTTTTGATTTTAAACCGACATGTTATCGTGTGTCTACCAAGTTCTCTTCAAGTTCTCTTCTTTTTATAATATGTAAAAAAAAAAAATAATATACTATAAGATTTTTTTTAGAAGCAATATTTGGCACAGAGAACGCTTCTTTTTATAAGATTATGTGGCTGTAGTCCTTCTCTTGCGAGAAATGCATTTAGGTATGATGAAAAAAATACGGGATTAAAAGAAGTATTTTTATAATACCATTCATAATTTCTATAAACTTGGTTTTTTAAATACTGAAATATCGCCAAATGCAAATGTTTTCGCTACAGTGTGTTAGCAATCTCCATATTACGCTTTAGCATAGAGTTTAGTTTAGTAAAACGATAGTAAATATATAAAAATTCTTGTGTGGTGTGATAATATTAACAGTTACTTATAAGATTTACTAAGTTTTATCGTTCTCAACCTTACGTAGACTCTTAACGTCATTGCTGATGATTTATAATGAGTCTCCCTTGTTTGAAATTCATCGACTTGATACAATTCTCAATATTTCGTAGAATCATTACAACATAGTGTCCAAATGGCTTTGCTGCATAACAAGAATTCTACAAGTAAATTTTAATAGTTGAATTAAAATATGCGAAGGTAAAGTACAATACAATATAATTTAAGACAAATAAAAAGAAATTATTTCCTAGAAATGTCGAGACCTTAAGCCAGAAATTGATTCTTTTTATACTTTTTAGGAAACTTATTCAATTCCTAATAAATTAATTCATTTTACTTGCTCTTATTGTGGTGGAAGTGAAAATGACTTTTAAATTAATGTTAATAATACAAAATAGAGATGGATTTTAATATCTTCGTCATTGACTTAGGTGGAATTTTGATTAAAAATGCTTTCCGTTAACAATACTTATTTAAGAAAAGATTGACCGATGTATACAAATCCTGTGATTCACCTGCTTCGGCAGCAAATTTCTTTCATTTTTTGAAACATATTTTTAAAATAAAAATCTAATTCGTTGTAGATTTAGAATCATTTTGTCAACTTCGAAATCAAATTTATTTTATAATTTTTCTAAACATTTGGCGTTTACCTTAATGGCGCCGCCTTTGAGAAGGATATTGTACAAAACATAATAGAAACGTAAGTTTTTAACTTTGTATTTTTGCGTGATATCTCACACTATTTATAAAAAAAAACAAAATAATAATATCAATTAGTATGCTGATTTTTATTAATTTGTACATATATAACTTTTACTATCATCATTATCATTATTATATTAATTAATTATTACAATTTTTAGAAATTAATTCTAAAATTAAAGTAAATCTAATTTTAGAGCAATTAAAGCAAATTATAATTGTAATATGATAATATGCAACAAGATCTAGATAGTATCTATCGCTATGCTTAATGGATTTCATTTAGTATAATATTTAAATTGACACTCAAACCACACGCAAGTTCAAAATGTGTGTTCCAAGTATTTGTAAAATAAACCGGAGGGTTTCTATTTGTATACCAATAAATACCATATGGAGATTGGATAGGTTGTTTGTTTTGTAGAACTACAGCAGTTGAAGCTTGTCCGGGGTTTGGTTCTGGTGAGTGGTTTCAGGTATAACAATTCCCAAATATTCAATTCCAATCAAGTATTGCTGACAATAATTGACTCTATTTATCGTGTTTCTCCGATCTGGGTCTTTAGCAAAAAAAACCTGCAAGATTTCAGGTCTGACAAGTTAAGACCATTTACATTTTCCTTGATAGATTTAATACAGTTACCTCAATCTATACATCCGGAGGTGGATGTTGATTAATAATCGGATGTGTGCATTGCTTTTAAACCATATACCTATGTACTGAATCTCCAACAACACATATTGTATTACTTGCTGAATACCAAGCTGTATTGAATCTTCTAGCTGAGTTTACAAGTTGCCAATGGATGCTTTCTTTGTTAAGCCCGTCGTACTAAATTATTAATATAGATTTCCCAAGATCAATAAATGATAAATAGGTGTGTAGACTATAATTAGGCATATTTTCGATTCTATTAGCGAGATATATCGAATGTATCGTTTGCGTCAGCTTTGTTCATATCTAGTTTATCAGGAAGATTGATCTCAACGACATCAACTTTATGCACATTCTCTAATAATTCATCAATTTTTGCGCAGATCTATTGTTGTCGTTACTCATTAGCCACACTACACTCTTTGTTATTTTTCTTAAGCAGTATTAACCATTATTTACCTGAGTAGCTTTGGAGGATTTCTTTGTTTCTCGAGTCAATTTGAGTAATGTTTCTTCTACACCTTCTGTTGCGACACAAATAATGAAAATGAAAAAATAAAAGTAAAGACACAAGAAAACGCGAAACAAAAAAGCACTTATAATCATTTCATTAAAAATCTCGAATTTTCCAGAACTTATTGAGTGTGCCACAGTTTAGTACAGTAATACGCACTGATATGTCAGAAATTTCCAAAAAATTTCCGATCATGTGATTGACCTAATTTGACTAGTCAGCATAAAAAATCAATATACTTCTCCAAGCATAAACATTATGAACTCGTTAAAAAGAAACTGACCTGTCTATCACAATTTGAAAGAAGCGTTATTATTGAAGTCCACAAGACACTTCGCAATTAATGTATTAATGAAATATATTTTTTCAGTTGTGGCTATGCATTTGCAAGGGGTGGACTCTGAGTTTGCAAAGATAATAGTGAGTTTTACTAAGGAAAACATTGTTAATTTATTTCTGACTTTGCATGTTCCATGTAAGGATGCTAATGGTTATGGTCATGACCAGTCATAACTGTAACCGATATCGGTCGGTCAAAGGTTTCTGACCGATAGGTTGACTGACTGATTTTGACTGATTTTGACCGATCGTTTGATCAAACATTTTTTAATTAATAATCCAAGAATTCTTTGCATTTAATTAATAAGTATTTTATTTATGTAATTTTTTATAAATAAAAATTTTTACTTTATTTTTTAAAAAAGTTTGCAATAATTCTGTAAATATGAAAATAATCTTAATATGCATATCAAGTTAGCCTAAAAGAAATAAATAAATTCAGAGTTTTAGCAAATAACATGTTAGCATTATTTAAAGCTTAAATTAAAATTAAAGATCAAGAACTTTAAATTATATATGGGCTGGTCAACTGATCAATATAACCAGTCAATTGATCAAACGCATCTGACTGATCGTTGACTGACCATGACCAACCGTTACCATCCCTAGTCCTAATGATCAATTTGCTGATAATTCTAACATATCAGTTAAAATTGAGTTTTTGGATTTTTCGATGATTTAGAATACCTTGATATGATGGAATAGAATATATATGTCAAAATGACCATTTTTGATATAACGAAATGATCAATAAGCATTATCATCAGTCAAGCTGTAATAATTATTAATTCTGCCAAAAATTTTATAACTAAACCATGAGAAGAGAATTATTATAAAAAGAAGGGTTTTTCATCTTACTTTAGAATATAATTAGAATTGTTTTCTTTTTTCTTTAAACCTATTACAGAATTCTAACAAAAGCAGTAATAGTTGCAGTTATTGTATTAACTTCACATTTATCAAATAAATTTATTTTTTTATTTTTATTTTAATAAAATTTTATTTAAATTCTTTTATATTTGATTTATTATAATACATTATATTCTCAAAAAGTCTTAATAAATATAGATCACTTCTTTACGAATTTAGGAGATGGTATAAGAAATCAATCCTGATTACTTCTCTTTTAACTCAGCTGGATTTTTTTAGTTTTTTGCTATACTACAAAAATGCATTTTTTCAGTTTAATAAAAAATATGAGCATGCCTAATATACTCATAACCTTTCAATCATAAGTAGTATTCTACAAAAAATCTGATTCAATCTGAATCTGATTCAGATCTGACAGATCGAATCAAATCAGATTCAAATCCAGATTTAGATTTGATTCAATTCGTTGGATCTGAATCAGATTCAGATTTGGATTTAATTTAATTTGATAGATTTGGATTTAGATTCAGATTTGATCTGTCAGATTTAAATTTGGATTCAGATTTGATTTATTAGATTTGAAATAAAAAATGCCACCTAAAAGTCAGAACGGCATTTATTATTAAAAAATTAATTTTTATTAATTTTTAATAACAAAATGCCATTACAAAAGTCAGAGGCAACATTTATTAATAAAAATTAATAAAAATTAATTTTTAATAACAATATGCTATCCCAAAAGTTAGACGTTACATTTATTATTAAAAAATTAATATTTAATAATAAAATTCTGCCCCAAAAGTCAGATGCAGCATTTAATAATAAAAAATTAATATTTATTAACTTTTTATATCAAAATATCATCCCAAAAGTCAAATGCGACATTTATTATTAAAATTTTCATTTTTAATAATAAAATAGCACCCCAAAAGTCAAACACAGCATTTATTAATAAAAAATTAATAAAAATAAATTTAAATAATAAAATGCCATTCTGAAAGTCAAACACAATATTTATTATTAAAAAATTTAATTAAAATAATAAAATGCCGATCTGAACATCAGAGACAGATTTTTGTTAAACAAACAAAATTGTTATTTTTTTTAACAATAAAACGCCATTCCGAACGTCAGAAGTAGATTTTTGTTAAAAAAATAATATTGTTGTTTTTAAACATTAAAATGCCGTTCTAAACGGTGAAGGCAAATTTTGTTAAAATACATAAAATACAACAAAATTGGTATTTTTTAATATTAAAATGTCATCCCAAATATCAAAAGCAGATTTTTGTTAAAAAACAAAATTGTTAATTTTTTCAACATTAAAACGCAATTCTGAATGGCAGAGGCAAATTTTTGTTAAAAAAATTTTTAATCTGTTAAATATAGATACAGATTCAAATACAAATTCAGATTTGAATTTGTCAGATTCAGATTAAATGAATTCGTATTTATCAGATTCAGATCAAATCAAATTCAAATTTTTTGAATTTGGATTGAATTAGATTTTGCTCAAATTTGATCTGATCTGATTCGTGTGAAATACTAATCATAAATAATGAACAGTTTAAATTTAATAATACACATCCAATAATCTTCAATTATAATTCTGTTTATATCATACTTGCAAGAACAATTCCTTTATTATTGTTCTAGCATAAATGATTCAATTTTTATCATTCTTGTAAGGACAATTTCATTTTTATGGTTTTTGCAAGAATAATTCCTTTTTTATCATTATAGTAAGAATGATTAGTTTTTATTATTTTTTCAAGAATGATTCAATTTACATTTTTGCAAGAACGATTTCATTTATATTGTTCTTACAAAAATGATTACTTTTTTATTATTCTAGTAAGAATAATTTCTTTTTTATCATTCTTGCAAAAATGATTTCTTTTTTATTGTTTTAGCAAGTATGATTCTTTTTTTATCATTCTAGCAAAAATGATTTCTTTTTTATCATTCTTGCAAGAATAATTTCTTTATTATTATTCTTGAAAGACAATTCAGTTTTTATTACTTTGCAAGAATAATTCCTTTTTTATCATTTTGCAAAAACGATTACTTATTATCATTCTAGCAAAAATGATTCAGTTTATATTGTTCTTACAAAAATATTTCAATTTTATTATTTTTGTAAGAATGATTTCATTTATATCATTCTTATAAAACGATTCCTTTATTATTATTTTTGCAAGAAAGATTTCTTTATTATTATTTTAGCAAGAACAATTCCTTTATTAAGAATGATTCCTTTTTATTATTCTAGTAAGAATGATTCCTTTCTTTATCATTCTATTAAGAATGATTTCATTTTTATCATTTTTGCAAGAACAATTCCTTTATTATCATTCTAGCAAAAATAATTTGATTTTATCATTTTTGCAAGAATGATTTCTTTTTATTGTTTTAGCAAGAATGATTTCTTATTATCATTCTAGCAAAAATGATTTTACGAATTTAACAAACTATAACAAACTAATATTTTTCCATAGATTACAACTCGTTAGAATACTATTTATTAAACTACTGAATTTGATTTTTTTAAATTTGAATATTATGTCTAGTTTAATTGACTTTACAACTTTACTTATATGTAAAGTGTAAGTTTAGAATACTGATTTTGACTTTTACATAGAAATTTACTGCACTACTTAGAGAATTTTTTTATTTCAAACTAAAGATTATTTCAAACTAATGTTGTGATAATATTAATAAATTAATATTTAAAATGTATAAGGCTTGATTATTTTTGCTCTAAAATTTTAAAGTTTTGACTTATTAGAATATAATATGTACATACAAGTAAATGTTGACAATCGGCATTTTTTAATATAAAAATTGATAATATGTATTATGTCGATCTCTTAATTAAAAGCAATACAAGAAATAAATTATTGTGTAATATTAGATTATTTGGATTTTACTGCGTATATGCAATATCTAAGATCATGAGACTCTGAAAGTTTTATAATTTTTATTTATCGTTATATATAAATAATTTTAAAAATTTTTAATACCTAATTTCAAAGTCTATAATAAATGCATTAAATTTATTAAAATTAAATATAAAAATTAACTCTAAATTTATTTATATATTATTAAATTCTTTCAAAATTTAATATTATATATAATTTTATTTAATTATTTGATAAAAAAAATAGATTTAAAATACCAATTTTAAGTTTTATATAAAGAATTATTTTAATATAAATATTTTAGCAATAAGCTTAAAATTAGAAAATATATTCTATGACTAATAATGATCGAAAAAATCGGTGAAATAAAAAAATGTGAATTAAAAATAGTAATGTGAAAAAAAATGATAGATATAAAAAGAAAAACAAAGGAAAGTGAATTTAAAAAACAAATTAAAAATAACAAATTAAAAATAATGAAGAATATATTGGAAAAAGATGAGAAACAAATATAAATGATGAATAAAACATGAAAAAATTAGAAAAAGATGAAGAATGAATTAAAAAATAAAAAAAAAGATCAAGAAAAAGAAAATTATAAAATAGGAATGATTTGTATTTGTAAATTTATATTTCTTTATTAATGATATATTATAATAATAAAAGATTCATAAGCTAAATTTCAAATGTTTATATTTTTTATTTTTATTAGAAAACTTTTAATAATACAATAAATTATTATAAAAATCTAATCAATATCTCATACAAATTCATTTCTTTATTCTTTTGCTTTTTTGCATTATTATTTCTATTATGCAAAGATTAGATATTCTCATGTAATTGCATTCTTTTATTATTATTTAAAAAGATAAAAATAATTTTGTGAAATATCAACATTTTATTTTTTTGTATTATATAAGACTAAAATATTTCATCTGTTATTTAATAATATATAACTCATA